ACTGGCTTGTGGACAGGTGAGAAATCAATCTCTTCTATAATTTTCCATGTTTGATTGGATAAGAAAGTTGCTCTAAACAAAAAAGGTATACAAATTGAACTAGGCACTTCACTTCCTTTATTTCAGGATCCTGAGTTAGTTAGAAACATCTGTCGCTGGGTGAGAGAGGCGGTCAATATCCCATTCTTTGCCAAACTGACCCCAAATGTGACCAGTGTTGTCTCCATTGCCAAAGCAGCCAAAGAAGGTGCATAAAAATTGTATGAATGAAAATGAAACAATGGAAATTTTATTTCTGCAAAGTGAAAGAGGCATATACTGGTGAAAAATAATTTGTATGGATTGAAATGCTTGTAAGGGTTGGGCCCCACCTACATGTATAGAAAATAGATACAAACAGCTATCTTTTAAATTCTTTGCCTCACTTGTTTGAAAGTTGATAAATTCTATAAAAGATGAACAAAGTAAATATATAAAGACGTAATGTTTTATAGGTAATGCTGATGGGGTGACTGCTACAAACACTGTGTCAGGTCTGATGGGCCTCAAAAGTAATGGTTTAGCTTGGCCCAATGTTGGTAAGGAACACCGTACAACCTATGGGGGCGTGTCTGGTAATGCTATTAGACCTATCGCTCTCAGGGCTGTAACAGCCATCGCCAGGGAGCTCCCAGGGTTCCCTATTCTGGCCACCGGGGGAATTGATTCAGCAGAGGCAGGGTTACAGTTCTTACAAGGAGGAGCCACTGTTTTACAGGTGAGACTAGAGGTACTGTGAGCACTGAGCTCACTAAATGATGTTATCATAGTTATGTAATAAGGTCAGTTATCTATGCATGTTTCATGCATATGGTTTATGTATTTGTATTTTCAAGTTTGTTTTTTTTCTCAACATTCATAATTTGAGCAGTATTTGAAGCTCACCTCAACAAAGTTGGGCTAAAGTGTAATACCCTTGACATCCATTTTGGTATCTTGGGTTTTTGGAACAGACTTCCATGCCCTAAAGATCAAAGTTGTATGTAGTATGTTTTATTGCACCAGTTAGGTTTCAGATGCTGTAGGTAAGATGACATTAACATGTGAAGAGACTTATTTCTTGATTAATGTATAAGCCTGTTGCTGACTTAACTTGTAAGGGTGATTCACCTATGGATGTACACTACCAAACTTGCACTCTTGCTAGTGTCCTCAAGGTTTACTAACAGTGAATAGACAAAGCTGTGCTTTTCTAAGACCTCTCTCTCTCATAGTTCCTCTACATATTTTCTCTTCAAATGCTATAGGTTTGCAGTGCTATTCACAACCAAGAGTACACCATTATTGAGGATTAAATCGTAGGATTTAAGACCCTCCTCTACCTCAGGAGTATTGAAGAACTTCACAACTGGGATGGACAGAGTCCCCCTACTGAACCCCATCAACTGGGAAAACCTGTACTGAAGGTCAAAGATATTATTGGAGAGGTAAGTCACCGAGTGGGTTAAATGTGGGCAGAAGGGTGTACTGGGGGTCAAGGATATCACCCAGTACAAGGTTACTAATTGAATGGTGTATGGATGTTAGGAAAGATAGAAAGTATGATGCAACCTCAGATGTTTTTAATGCTAATTTTCATGAAGAGATTTCAATTTTGCAGTTTATTTTCAAGTTATTATGCAAGGATACGTTGTACTGAATCTATTCTCCTTCAGAGTCTCCCATCATTTGGACCATATTTGGCCAAGAGAGAGGCACTGAAAGATGAGATTTGCCAGAAGAAAGATCTGCTGAGTGAAGAGAATATGCCAGAAGTCCAGAGACCTCCTAATGCTCCAAAGAAACCTATACCCAGTGTTAAGGTTTGTAGAATTATTGTTGCTAATTGTCACCATGTGTAAAACTTTTACCTGTACCCATTGTTAAGGTACATTTACTCATTTTTAGCTCTACTGGTCAGAGACCAGAAGAGCTTATGCGATAGTAATGCGTCCGGCGTCCGTCCGTCTGTCCGTCTGTCTGTCTGTCCGTCTGTCCGTCTGTCTGTAAACAATTTTTCAAAATGCTACTCCTCCTACAGTTTTGGTCTAATTTCAATATAACTTGGCACACAAGTAAACTACACTAAGATACATAATTCTGTGTATCGGTTTTTGATTTCGATGAACGGTGTTGCCGTGGTTACTGAAAATAGAAATTTCTGTGAAATTCTTTCAAAATGCTACTCCTCCTACAGTTTTGGTCTGATTTCAAAATAACTTGGCACACAAGTAGAATACACTAAGATACATAAATCTGTGTATCGGTTTTTGATTTCAATGAACGGTGTTGCCGTGGTTACTAAAAATAGAAATTTCTGTGAAATTCTTTCAAAATGCTACTCCGCCTACAGTTTTGGTCTGATTTCAGTATAACTTGGCACACAAGTGGAATACACTAAGATACATAATTCTGTATATTGGTTTTTGATTTTGATGAACAATGTTGCCGTGGTTACTAAAAATAGAAATTTCTGTAAAATTGTTTCAAAATGCTACTCCTCCTACAGTTTTGGTCTGATTTCAGTATAACTTGGCACACAAGTAGACTACACTAAGATACATAATTCTGTGTATTGGTTTTTGATTTCGATGAACGGTGTTGCCGTGGTTACTAAAAATAGAAATTTCTGTAAAATTGTTTCAAAATGCTACTCCTCCTACAGTTTTGGTCTGATTTCAGTATAACTTGGCACACAAGTAGACACTAAGATACATAATTCTGTATATCGGTTTTTGATTTCGATGAATGGTGTTGCCGTGGTTACTAAAAATAGAAATTTCTGTGAAATTCTTTCAAAATGCTACTCCTCCTACAGTTTTGGTCTGATTTCAGTATAACTTGGCACACAAGTAGAATACACTAAGATACATAATTCTGTATATCGAATTTTGATTTCGATGAACGGTGTTGCCGTGGTTACTAAAAATAGAAATATCTGTAAAATTGTTTCAAAATGCTACTCCTCCTACAGTTTTGGTCTGATTTCAGTATAACTTGGCACACAAGTAGACACTAAGATACATAATTCTGTATATCGGTTTTTGATTTCGATGAATGGTGTTGCCGTGGTTACTAAAAATAGAAATTTCTGTGAAATTCTTTCAAAATGCTACTCCTCCTACAGTTTTGGTCTGATTTCAAAATAACTTGGCACACAAGTAGAATACACTAAGATACATAATTCTGTGTATCGAATTTTGATTTCGATGAACGGTGTTGCCGTGGTTACTAAAAATAGAAATGATTGTAAAATTGTTTCAAAATGCTACTCCTCCTACAGTTTTGGTCTGATTTCAATTTAACTTGGCACACAAGTAGACTACACTAAGAACATAAAGAGACTTTATCAACGATCATTATTCTATTTATTGCTGTTGTAAAATTTCAAATCCCAGCTGCTTAAGTACTTTTCTTTTCCTTTGCTATAAGTTCAAACCAGTAGAGCTTCAGTCTCAACAGAGACTTCTGGTTGTGATTATTGTCTTTAGTTATATTGTATAATAATATTGTATATGTGTTATAAAGAAGGCTAGGAAGACTAGGGCTTGCACAAATAGGGTAATCTTCTATAAATAAAGTATTATTAATATTATTGTCAAGGTGTGTAAAGCTCATACATGTACTCATTGATAAAGTACTTTTACCCATTGTCAAGGTACCTTCATCCATTGTCAAAATACCTTTACCCATTGTCGAGGTACCTTCACCCATTGTCAAAATACCTTTACCCATTGTCAAGGTACCTTCACCCATTGTCAAAATACCTTTACCCATTGTCAAGGTACCTTCACCCATTGTCAAAATACATGTACCTTCACCCATTGCCAAGGTACCTTTCAACCATTGTCAGAATACCTTTACCCATTGTCAAGGTACCTTCAGCCATTGTCAAGGTACCATTACCCATTGTCAAGGTACCTTCACCATTGTCAAGATACCATTACCCATTGTCAAGGTACCTTCAGCCATTGTCAAGGTACCATTACCCATTGTCAAGGTACCTTCACCATTGTCAAGATACCATTATCCATTGTCAAGGTACCTTCACCATTGTCAAGATACCATTACCCATTGTCAAGGTACCTTCACCATTGTCAAGATACCATTACCCATTGTCAAGGTACCTTCACCATTGTCAAGATACCATTACCCATTGTCAAGGTACCTTCATCCATTGTCATAATACCTTCACCCATTGTCAATGTACTGTAACGGTCCAGAGATTTGATAGATTAGTTTTATACAGAGTTATTGAACCTGATTATTGTTGACATTGTAGGAGAGTTAAGATGTTATAGATACTTGACATTGCAGGAATATGTGTTAATTTATGGTTTGCATGTAATTGATAGGTGATTATTGACAAGTTTAAGTGATTTACGTGAGTTGAAATAGTTTGTGCACGTTTTGAGTTACGTAGAAATCAGCTGATCATAGCAGTAGTAAAGTTGTGGTATTATTTTAGCTTACTTCATGTTTCAGGGACTTTAATTGGTCTTCTGTAGTAGATGAACCATAGATTTATAGATGAAATCATGTTTTCTTGAAGTTTAACTTGTTTTCAGTTAATTATCGGCAGTTTATAAACTGGTAGATTTGTTTACGAACTTGGCGGTCGTAAATTGTGTAGTTCGAGCCCGATCGTAAAAGTTACGTTAGTTTTAGGATTTTTGGAGTTAATTGTGTTATTTGTTGATTTAAATAGAGATTAATTTACTTATTTTAATCTAAGAAGGTATTCGGAGATTACTTTCATTCAGAAAAGTTGTCTTGTATGTAGTTATTATATTTTCTATAGACTTTGCTGTTTACAGGAAATGTCACGAGAGATTCTCCAACGTTTTCCAACATGTCCAACAGTTTCCAACTTTTACGTCATGTTCTTGTATAAAAGAGAGAGATTCAAGGAATTTTTGCTCTTCTGCTAGGTTGGTTTGTTTAGAGAAGTCGTGTTTTAGGGGTAAGGAGTTAGTATGGGTTGGGCGTTTTGAATTTAGATTTAATAATGACTTTTTAGTTTTATTTTAAGAAGAGCCAGGGTTAGTTTAAGGATTTTTAGGAACTTTTAGAATATTTGTGGAATTTTATAGGAAGTTTTGGTGAGGATTTAGTGAATTTTAACTGAGAATTGGACTTGGTTAAATTTTGCTGGTTGTTTGAATTTTTGGTAAATTGTTGTTAAATTTTAGAAATACTTAAAATTGTTTAGGTAATTTATACATTTAGCTAAGGAAGCTAGTGTATTTCTAAATTTTGCTACTGTTTTTAACTGGAATTCAGACTTAAGAAATTTGCAGGAATTACTGGTATTTCAAATTTGTTAGGAATTAATTAGGTTTAAGGGATTAAGTTTTAGTTACTGGTTTTTACTTTCATCCAGGAGGTCTGGGAGGAAGTTTTGAGAGTTAGGAGTTTTGTGAGTTGCATTGAAGTTAGTTTTAGACAGATAGGTTAGGACAAATAGGTGACATAGACAGAGCTTAGAATTTGTTTGTTGATTGTTCATTTGAGAGATAATTCTTATAATAAATTGTAAAACTGTATTTTGTCTCATTTCAAGTACAGAGATTTACAAGGTTTTATCAAAGTGTGATTTTCCAACAAGATGGAAATTGTGGGATATAAAAGAGTAAGAACAGAGTAATGAAATATATGAGTATTAGAGAATTTATAGTGACTTCCTTAGGCCTAGATTGTAACGAGCTTGACAAATAGAGAAGAAAAGCTGAGAGATTTCGTGTATTTATAAATTTAGTGTAACTTAGAGAGCGCGGGTTAATAACAGGAGGTTTAGGTTTTGGACAGTGGGGTATTATCTGAGTTCATTGATTAAAGGGAGATAATTTAGTGTGTGGTGATATAAGATTAAAGAGTATTGAGTTTTTAACCACTGTTCCATACTAGCCCTCCTGAGCTCGGGTTGAGCTGTGTAACGCAAGCCTTGCCAGGAAAGATAAGACAGCCCCTATAGATAGAGTGAGGGAGTGCGGTCCCAGCAGTAGTAGGAGAGGTACCGTCCGCCCTCCACCCCGTTACAGTACCTTTACCCCTTGTCAAAGTACCTTAACCCATTGTCCATGTACCTTCACCCATTGTCAAAGTGTTCAATCTTTGAATGAATGTGATCATTATAAAATTTATTTTGAACAAATTGAAAATAAGTTGCAGTAAGCTTAGCTATTGTTTTTATCATGCCTAGTATAAATACATGTAACTAAATATGTACACTTTATTTAGGATGTGATTGGTCTGGCTTTGTCCAGGATTGGAACTTATGGAGACCTAAACAACAAGGAACAAGTGGTGGCCTTAATTGATGAGGTTTGTCTCCATCTAGATAAATTATAAAGAACCAGGATTGTATATGAATGCTTTATATACAGTGTATTTTAATTTTGCCATACAATTTTAGGAGATGTGCATTAACTGTGGAAAGTGTTATATGACTTGTAATGACTCTGGATACCAGGCCATCAAGTTTGATCCTCAGACCCATCTTCCCACAGTCACAGATGATTGCACAGGTAAGTCATCCAGAAACATCTGACCTCTGAACTAAGAGGGAGAAGTAATTATTTCTATTTATGTTCTTTTATTTAGTTAATTTAAGGATAATCTTTGAATTTAGAAAAATAAAAGAAAGAGAAATTAACCATAATTTCATCTTGGTTCTGTCTCATTTTGCATTTTATTGGATTGGCAGGCTGCACTCTGTGTCTGTCTGTGTGTCCAATTATTGACTGCATCACCATGGTACCCAGGACAACCCCTTACATACCAAAGCGGGGCATACCACTGAACACAGGGACAAACCTAATGCCAGGAGTCACCTTGGAGACCAATTGAACAAACCTATTCAAAGGAAAATTTGAAGAGTTTGGCTCACATTTATATAAGATGTGCTAGTTGATAGAGAATTAAAAATTGTGGATAAGTCTAGTCTATAATTAACTCTGTAATCAGTAAGTGAATCTAGGTTGTCTAAGTTTTATCATGAATAAAAAAATTAATGTAGACATCTCTGTAAAAATATTATTTGAACTTAAGGAATCTCTAAACACTCCACATTAAAGAGTTCTATTCATAGAGCAATTTTATGCAGTTGAGTGATCTGCCCTTAAACGTAAGATAGAAAAAAATGGCTATTTACGCAATTTGTAATAGATAAAAATATTCTTAGCATTATAATAGGCCAAGAATAAGTACTGGTAAATGGATTTGTTTTTCCATTTATTTTCCCTATGTAAGTAAACAACAATGATTTCTGCTCACAAATAGTCCATTGTCTTTGAACATTTTTCCTGTTTACCCTATAATTAAAATTAACAAAAGAATCCCAATATGCACATCTTTTATATATGATGTATTTTTCTCCAAGGCCATTCCAAGTTTTTCCTATGTATAGCGTTAGCGTGCGCCTTGGTTTTTGACACCCCATGTCAGAAAAAACAAACAGAATCAGGAGTCCCCAAATTAATTATTCAGGTCAAAATTTTTGATTTCCGGCAATATTTGTAAATATTTGTATAATATTTCGTTATTGGAATAGTTTCAGTATTTAATACCTTGATTTTGCTGAAGAAAATACAGGTGACTCTCGATGGCTCGAACTCATTTCTCTCGAAGTTCTCTATCTCTCGAAGTGAACGTCCGGTCCCATTTTTTCCTCTATATAACTAAGCAAATTTACTCCCGATCTCTCGAACTTCTATCTCTCGAAGTTCTCTATCTCTCGAACCAAAATCTGGGTCCCGTTACAAATATTTCATTGAATTTTACTCTCTATCTCTCGAAGTTTTGATTGCGCGTGTATACATGCCAATGAAGCGTGAAATTGATGAAGCCTGGACTTACTTGGAAACAGTGAACTTCTTAATTGGGCTGGCATGGAGGTGTTAATTAGGTGTTTACATAGATGACACTACACCTGTGGGTCTTCCATGTGTTAAAATAATTAATTGGTTATTATTCACAGGGTAAATTATAAACAAATTCACATCTTATTTAGAATTGAAACCGAGACGATAATTTTTAGAAATTAATTATAGATGTTCGTTTCAGTAAGTTCCCAAAGACTATGAACTTTCGTCATGATTATATAGAGTCTACATAATTTCAGTATGGCAAATATTGCACGAGAAATTCCTTTCTCAAGGACTGAATACCGATTGAGAAAAATCTGGTAAACACTGGTGTAGGACCCGATCAAGCCGCGGAATAACCAAAACGACAATTGCTATTCGAGTTTCATGTAATCATGAAATAAGAACAAATAAATATTTAAACTTTAGGAAGTCGTTTTATTTATTCAAAATACGATCATTGTTGTTGATATCAAGTAAATTACCTGTAAAATACGATTGAAAACGTGAAATGACTTTATTAACATATACTTCCATAGGGATATATAGGGAAACCTTTTAAAATCTTCTTTTCAAGTACTTCAAAGTTATGATTAGTGATATTTATATGGAATCATCCTCAGGTAGTGTAGATTCTAGTTTGTTCAAATGATGAACGCCTGGAGGGGGGAGGGGGGGGAGTAAATTCAAGCCCGATGTGCTCAGGTGAGCGCTGTGGCCCCTGGGCCTCTTGTTAGTGTTAAGAGCTTCCTTAGGGTTAAGTAAACAACATTTTTTTTTCTTGCATGTATTTTTAGTACTTAATAGTATAAAATACCTCAATATTAAATTTGATTCAGATTTATGTATTTTTTCTCAGAATATGGCTGGTGTCATAGGTGCTATATACTAGTATATTTCTTATTATCATATTGTAATTCTATCTCTCTGCTTTTAGTAAGTACATGAAGTTTTGTGAAGTATTGTACAATAGATTGCAGGCTTATCAATTCTACAGACTTCTTAAAACACGCAATCCAAATGAAATCTTATTTATACAAAATGTCAACATTTTGTTTTGTCACATTTATAGCTTTAAATTTGTGTTTGAAATCCATTTTGTATTGTTTATTATATTATACCCCCGCTCCGAAGGAGAGGGGGTATACTGTTTTACCCTTGTGTGTCTGTTTGTCTGTCTGTCTAGCTGTCCATAACAAATTTTCGTCGCAGTTTTCTCAGCAACTACTCATTGCAGATGCTTGAAATTTTAACACAATCTTCTCTGAGGTATGCCATACAGTGGGATACATTTTTATTCTAATCCAGTGTCAACTTCCTGTTTGTCTGTGCGTCTGTCTGTTTCATACATAATAAATTTTCGTTGCAGTTTTCTCAGCAACTACTCAGCGCAGATGCTTGAAATTTTAACACAATCTTCTCTGAGGTATGCCATATGGTGGGATACATTTTTGGTCAAATCCGATGTCAACTTCCTGTTTGTCTGTGCGTCTGTCCGTTTCATACATAACAAATTTTCGTCACAGATTTCTCAGCAACTACTCATCGCAGATGCTTGAAATTATAACACAATCTTCTCTGACACATGCCATACATTGGGATACTTTTTTGGTCAAATTCGATGTTAACTTTCTGTTTGTCTGTGCGTCTGTCCGTTTCATACATAACAAATTTTCATCACAGTTTTCTCAGCAACTACTCATCGCAGATGCTTGAAATTATAACACAATCTTCTCTGACACATGCCATACGTTTGGATACATTTTTGGTCAAATCCGATATTAACTTCCTGTGGGTCTGTCCATTTCATACATAACAAATTTTCGTCACAGTTTGCTCAAAAACTACTCATTGCAGATGCTTGAAATTATAACACAATCTTCTCTGAGGTATGCCATATGGTGGGATTAATTTTGATATGAATCAGATGTCAATTTCATATTTTTCTGTGTATATTAACATGATAGTGTTTATTCACACCAGAGCGGGGGTATTCCTAGTGAGCATTGGCTCAAAGATTTCTTGTTTAATACAATGTAGTATGGAATTTGCATAGAGGGAAATATGTATTATTGTATGTTATAGTATTAGCACATATAACTATATTTTACACTTAATTATAGTCCATTTACATTGAATAAAGTTATTACTCAGGCCAGGACAAATGTACAAATCTGCATGCTCTGATTGTTAACCATATCTAGTCTTTGAATAAAATAAAATTTTGCATGCAATCAATTTGTCTGTTATGGTTTCCAGGTTAGTTTTTCCTGAAATTCTTATATACCTAGGTGTACTTTAAAAAATCATATTCCATCTTATATAAATTCAAATAATATGTGGAATTTCCTTGACATTGAAGTGGAGACCACCATATTTTGCATTTTTAACTCTGATCAACTCGAATGTGTGCAACATTTTTGCTGCAGTTGAAGTCGAATTATTTAGTTCTTAACAAAAAATAATTATTGAAAAGATTGGGCCTCCATTCAAGTTTTAGGTTAAAGGCCATGGTCTAAAACAAGTCTTGCCTTAATTCCTCATCTTAAATGTATTTTCTCCCCATTGATCAAATTTGGCTGATGTTTTTTGTTGACAAGTTCTACTGAGCCTTGAGTCGCTGCATTTCATTTCCGGAAATATGCATAGCATTTCCGACATTTTTTTATTTCATTTCCGACATTTTTTGTTTTCATTTCCGACATAATTTTCTTTTCATTTCCGGAACTTACCTGTGCGGCAATTCAATGTTTTCTAAGTAAGTGAAAATGGAATTTTAAAAGTATTTATTACAAAATATTGATGAAAAATAGAAAAAAAAAACATCTACACATATATGCATACATGTAGTAGTAAGTCTAGGTAAAAGAGTTCAATGAACATGAACTTTTTCACCACATTTAAAGTGCACTAAATTAAATGTCAGTGACAGCACCACACTTATAAATGTCCAAGTCACTGATAGATTTACAAAACTCACTTAATGGATTTTAATTATTTATTTACGATTTTTTTCTTTAAATTTTTCATAATTAAAGTATTCAGATCTGTTACTTAAAGTACTGTATATGTATTTGAAAAATGTCGGAAATGAAAACAAAAAAATGTCGGAAATGAAAAATAAAAAATGTCGGAAATGAAAAGTTGATAATTACCAAAAATTCGGGAAATGAAATGCAGCCCCTTGAGTGATGGGTGTACAGTGACCTGTTAAGGTCCTTCTTGGTCATCTTTGCGTTTACTGCATTGCTAGTCCCACACCAGTAATCAACTATTTTCTCCAAATGTGATTATCCTTCATATATTGTTTAAATATTCTAACTCTTTGAAAATGATTGATTTATATCCTCAATTTGAATATTATCGGGTAGATTTTTTTCTAATTTTGTATTGTTTTTCTTTTTAATATTTCTACAAAAATGCCTGACCCCAAGAAGATTCTGATATTTTCTGACAAAACGAAATCAAAAGGTTTCTTTAAAGATTTTGATCCTGCAAAAAAAGTATCTGCTTCCAGTAGATTCTTTGTGACAATCACCTCCATGATATTAAATAATTCTGATTATCTTGATGAACTTAGTGATATGACTTTCCACCTAGCTGGAGCTAGCAAAAGAGGAGAAATGTGAATTCTTGCCCTTCCTGGCCCCCAGAAAAGTGATGACAAAGAATGGAGTGATCACGGAGATGGAGTTTGTCAGAACAGAGATGGATGATGAAGGGAACTGGGTGGAAGATGAGGAAGAGATCATCCGCATCAAGGCTAATTACATCATCTCAGCATTCCGCTCAGGACTGATGGAAACAGATGGTATGTATTAGTAAATCACTCAAATAAACGTTTGAGCAATTTTATGCAATATAGGTGCATAGCTGCTAGAGCTATATAATATATCAAAGCATGTGAATTTGCAATTTTTTATTCCAAAATAAATCATAACTAAATTACAAAGACGTATGTAGCATTTGGAATTATCATTGAAATTGAAAGGATCAAAACAATTAAAGGAGCATGTAAAAAGAAATTTGGGTGATAGTAGTGTACTTATACTCAAAGTTAAATGCAATGTTGTATTATGCACAGGAACAGAATTACCACTGGTTTACATGCTCTCAGCT